GATCCCCAATTTAAGATGATATTTACTGTTAAGAATTTGTTAAAATTAAGATAAAGACTATGCTTAACGTAAAAAGCTGGAAATTTCTGTCACTGCTAACCACTACTCACCAATCTCTACATTACCAGCCATTACCTTCTAACTGTCCCTAAGCTATTTCACACTAGGAACAGGTGCAAGCTTGGTGGCCAAAGTATGTTGAATGAAAATAAACCTTCATTACAGCACACACAAAAATACTTTTATGTTTCCCTTCTACTACTACTCTGACTTTCCAAATTTTTTTCATGTTTTCCCTTCAGCAACTCCCAACCACATCTCATGCTAAAATAATTTTGAAATTTGAATAGCATTACATCAGAAGTCTGTGGCAGTGCCATGAATAGATCCAGGTCCCCTCACTTCTAGTCCCAATCCTGTGCCTTAACTTCAAGATCACCGTTCATCTAAAATACAGTGTATGCTCATGCTGCTTGTGAAAACTGTCACTTCAAGGTTCCTTATGTTTATGCATACAAAATGCTATACGATGTCATTTCAGCCAAAATGCTGTCTTATTATTTTTGCATTTAATATTATGAGTACTAGAAAGGTTGAAGGAATTCAGAAAAAATCTGCAAAAGAAATAACACCATCATCCATAACATGATTGCTTTGACAAATGAACACTTCTTAATACTGGAGTCTTTGAAGATTCAACAGACCAGTGTTACTTGTTTGAACAGGTTATCTAAAATTCTGTTTATTATTTTCACAGCAACATTTTAACTGTCAAACTAGAAAAGAATGTTCTATGTTTACCAAAAAGCAGAATGAAGCTTCAGCAAATGTTTTAGGCAGCTGGGAACACTCATGCTACTATATAAAAATTAGTTCTAAATGTGGAATTAGTTGGTACAGTATAATAAATAATAATTATTATTAATAATAACAACTTAGTGCTTTTTATCTCCAAAGTTCTCAGGCCATTAATGAGGCCCCAATCTTGCTTTCCCTGCATGGAGTTCCTTGCAGAATTGGATCTTAATCCTCATGTCCAGTGAGATAGGTAAATTTTAAATCGCATTTTAAAGTGTGGAAACACAGAGACTAAGGGGCTTGCTCAAGGCCACAAAGGAAATCAGAGTCAGATCTCTTAGAAATCAGGAATCCTTGTTCGCAATCCACTGTTAAATTACACCCAACTCCCTTTTTACATGGGGCATTTTCTGCTCACTACACAGTACACAACAGATTCAGATCCACAACATTCTCTAAAAAAACCCAAACTTTTATAATGTTAATAACTTTAAATGTTTTTATTCCCTTAAAAGTAAAAGAAAAGGCCACACATTAAAAAGATTTTTCCCACTTCCATTTCATTTTTTATGTATTATATGTTTAACTCAGGAATGAATGACTGGAAACCTTAGTTAATCAATATAGAACAAAATGACAAAGCCAAACACTAAACCATCTGAAGCTCTGAAAAGAGTAAAGCTCATATAAAAATAAAGTTTCTTGTTACAATCGGTCCCCTTATTTGATAAAACTTCATTAGATTCTAACTGGCACCATAGAACAATTTTTCCGGTTTGTCATAAGAACATAAGAGCTGCCATACTGCGTCAGACCACAGTCCATCTTTCCCAATCTCCTGTCTCTGACAGTGGCACGCACCAGAACTTCAGGTGGAGTGTACAGAACAGGGCAATTATGGAGTGATTCACATGTCTTCCATTCCCAGCTTCTGGTAGTAAGAGATTTAGGGTCATCCTGAGCATGTGGTTACATCCCAGACCACCTTGGCTAACAGCCACTGACGGACCTATCCTCCATGAAGTTTTGAACTTATCTAGTTCTTTTTTGAACACAGTTATACTTTTGGCCATCATGACATCCCATGGCAATAAGTTTGAATGTCCTGCCATCATTCAAATAGATGCTTGTTCACCATTCCACTCTAGCACAGGCTTGCCCATATATACTAGAAAATGTAAAATTGCAGTTTATATTAGTCTAGCCTGTACACTTCCAAAAGTTCCTTGACAGATCATACACTAAAAATTAAATGGTAGGAAGCAGTGATGAGAGCTGTCTTGTCAGAACAAGCTTCTAAAACAAAGCCTGTGTCAGGTAGTCAGTGTATGAACTAGGATTAGAAGTCAAGAGATTCTGGTTCTCTGCTTAGCACACTAGACCACATCTCTCTCTCTCTTCAAAGAAATCAAATCATAAGAAATATATAGTGAATAAATGTACTATACTGAAGGGAATATAGTCCCCAAGGGAAACCTCAATTTCTGAAATACATCAGGGCAACTTTCTGCATCAGATATTTTTGGCCTTGGTTACACTATGAAAACAAGCAAGTTCAACGATGGCTTTTGAGCATGGCTATGGCCCTACTGGTTTAAAACTAAATGTGGTCCAGCCTGCCTGGACAAGGCCATACCTACAGGCTAAATTGTAATGCAAGTCATCTAGACCTCAATTAAGTTTAACCACTGTTGTCTGACTTGATGGTTTTGGTTGTGAAGATAGGATCAGAAAGATTCAGGAATTTACAATTGAATCTCCAGCCAAATACTGTAATCTTTAAAGATTTAAAGAATTTAAAGAATTTTAAGAATTAAAGATCACTAGTGATGTCTTGGAGGTACCTAGAGTTCATCAATATTTAAAGGTAATCCATTATCAGAAACTTTATTTACAAGAATTCTTTATATTTTCTATTTGTGCAGGAAGACACTATTTGGGATATGCAGAAGTTCCCAACTTCAAAATGTTCCCTCCTACTCTGTCCCTGTCTATTTGATCGCCTCCTGCTTTTCCTTTTCCAACACTTTAAGACTAGGAGTTGAATATATCTCCTCCACACACACCTCCTCTTCCTTCCTTAATGAATGTGTCTAAGGGCAAGTCTTCACTACAAACTTAAGTCGACTTAAGATATGTCGACGTACAGCCACCACAGTAATTACTGCGGTGGTTCATGTCCACACTATGCCCCCTCTCCTGGTAGTGTAGGTCCTCACCAGGCCACTTCCACTGACTTAACTGTGTGGGGCATTGTGGGGCACTGACAGCTGGAGTCCTGCCTGCTCTGGGGCCCACACGGGGCTGACAACCAACAGGTGATGTAAATAACACAGACACTGCATCACCCTAACTACATCAATCTAAATGCTACGTCTCTTATTAGGACTTATTAGGTCAGTCTAGTGGGCAACTTACATCAGTAGAAGCAACACAATAATGTAGACATTTACAGAGTTAGGTCGACATAAGCTGCCTTACAGTTGACGTAACTCCGTAGCGTAGGCCAGGCCTAAAACAAACCCCAAAAAAAGGGTGAAGCAGAATGAAGAGAAGTAGCTTGGCATTGCTAATTTCTGCACGCACAGGGTTTTCCTGTATTTGCTACAGCCATGGAATTGCTATGAACAAATGGACCTCACTAGGCCAATACTGAGACTGGAGCGACCACTACAGTACATTTAATTAGAGAAACAACTGCTCTTCATACAGTTAGAAACCTATGTACAGAACAGATTCTGAAGGGAAAAAACACAAATATGTTACATTAGCAGACACTAATCTCATTTTATCATGTGTACTCTTTGTATTGCTGAGGGCTCTAATTCTCAAGGATCATCTGCAAGGAGATTCATGTTTGTATTGACATTATAAGGAAAAGGATTTCCTATTACTACTTCCATTGCTTCCCACATGGGTGCTGTAAAGTTGGCTGTACATGGCAGTTTCATCATTTTTGATGATCTAGACAATCATTCAACTTTGCTCCAATTACTGCAACTAACTGACTATGATTTTACATGACATTACTCAAGAAGCGAGGTCCAAATGGGTTAGTATTTAGTGAGACCTGCAAAGAAAATTAAGTTGCTGCAGACAGTAGTGTTTCAGCCCTAATCAGTACCAAACCAATGCCCACGCACTGGCAATAGGGGGCACTATAATTCAGTCTTTCAGATGAGAAATAAAACCGAGGTTCCGAGTCTGACCACCGCATACATGACCACTTGCAGTCCTTTACAAAACCCAATGGTACTTTTTGCAAGGGCAGGTGTGTTTTGGCCTATTTCCAGTTTACAATGAAAGTACCAACTTCAATCATATATGAATCATAGAATCATAGAATATCAGGGTTGGAAGGGACCTCAAGAGGTCATCTAGTCCAACCCCCTGTTCAAAGCAGGACCGATCCCCGACTATGGTATCTGCCTTCACTTCCAGTCCTAAACTATTATGTAGGTTGCTGTGTGCTGTTAAACAACAGCCGCATTCTACCCCCGAGGTGACTGTATTTCAGTGGCAGGTGGATCAAGTGGTTCCTGTTTACACAGCAAATGTAAAGTGCTTGGGGATGAAAGGTACTGTATATATGACTGGATTCATAGAAAAGATCATAATTGACAAGCATTATAAGACTACTACTGCACTCTTCAGGACAATATTACTGCTGCCACATAAAGACCACAAGGAATCCTAACCATGACAAACCTGCCTGAGAAGAAATTGTGATGGGACACTCGTGCCTTGTTCAGCTATGGGAAATGATGTAGAACAACTAAAGTCACCTCTTCTGGTGTTCTGTCACCCTCATTCAGATGTCGGTTCTTTCCAATCTTCCCCCCTCCTCCTGATTTGAGGCAGCTGGGAGAACAAGGAACCCACAGAGACAAAGCCCAACGTCCGCAGGACTGGCAGGGGCGAGGAAGGGGGGCGCAAGGGAGCCTGAGCGGAGTGGGACCCTAGGGGCAGGGAAAGATTTGGGAGGGGCCGAGCGCGAAGGAGGCGTTGGTGAGGACTAGGAGCAAGGGGGCTGGCAGGCCACGGGGGCAGGTCCGCAGGAGGCTGCAGGGATGCGGGAGCGGGAGGGCACCATACAGCCCCGGGCCAGGCCGCATTTCCTGGCAGGGCAGCGCACCGGCGCGCTCGTAGGCCCGGCTATAGCCGGGGCTTCCGCCCGCCGTGCCGCGGGAGCCGGGACTCACCTGCCGGTAGCGGAGCCGGAAGGGCCGCAAGTACTGGGAGGAGGCGCAGGGCGCCAGCGCCAGCTCCTCTATGGCCTCCATGTGCGGCAGGAGCGGCCCCGGGAACCGGGGCGTGGCCGTGGGCAGCCTGCGGCCGCTCACCCCGGCCTGCAGACTAGAGCGGCGTCGCGCGCCGCCTGCGCGGCAACCGTCCTCGGTAAGGCGAAAGGAACCTCCCCCGCGGCAACCGTCCTGCTGACCGGGAAGGAACCCCTCCCCCCCCCGGCCCGGTCCAGCTAACGGGGAAAGACGCCCCCCCCCCCCCGGCTGTCCGCAACTGAGGGGAAACTGCCCCCCCCACCCGCTAAGAGGCCAGGACCCCCTCCCCCACAAAACCGTCCAACCAAGGGGGAAGGGGTTTTCTTTTTCCTCTCACACTCCCCCCAAGCCAGAGGGAAGTGAACCCCCCTCCCTGCACCCAAGCACACGTCTACATGCCTGGTGAAATCCTTGGCCCGCAGGGCGGGGGTCAGGTCAATGGCAAAAAATCCCCTCCGCTTCGGTGCAGCCTGGATTTCAGCTGCTGTGTTTTCCTGGCCCCCTTCCTTCACTGGCCAGGGGCACGTCTACACTGTGGACACCAGCCTCTGCAGTGTAGATCAGTGGTTCTCAAACTTTTTTTTCCCATGGACCACTAGAAAATCGCTGAGGGGCTTGGCGGCTCACTTAATGGTCTTTCCAAATGTTGTTTGCACCGGTAGCTAACCATTGTAAAGCACTTTGAACAGAAGCGCTATGTAAAAAAAAAAACCAACTTAATAATAATAATCTTTTTTTGTTCTACAAATAAAAGCACACTACTCATATTTTAATATCAGTAGTCTGACCTTTCTAATGCGATGGATGTGCTCTCCCCTGCTGCGGCAGCCCCCAAGCTGGGGCTGGGAAGGAGTGGGGGTCTCTCCCCCGCCACAGAGCTGGGGCTGGGAAGGAGTGGGGGTCTCCCCCACAGCAGCCGCAGCCCTGGAGTTGGGGAAAGTCACCTCTTTCTCTGGTCACCGCAACCCCACACATCCCAAATTTCCCCCACCCCCTCTTCTCACCCCACTGCCCCCTCCCACCTACCCTCTATTCCCCCCAAGGCCACCACCTCACCTTACATGTGTGTCTTCTCCAGAGTCCAGGCACCTAATTAGTGGAGCCACGCCTGCACAGCTCCACTAATTAGATCCGCGGCCCTTTATTCTCTCATGTGTGGCCACTCAGGCGTGCACCTTAGAGGGAACTATCTGTGGACCACCTGAATGGAGCTCGCAGACCACTGGTCGTCCGTGGATCGCAGTTTGAGAACCACTGGTGTAGACACTTCCTGTGTTGCTGGAAGTGGTTGTTCCATGGATGTAGGACCTACTTAGGTAATCCACCTCCTGGAGCAGCGGTAGTCACCTCCCTGATTAATTAGGTCAGTTTAGCTCCAGCATGCATGGGTGAATTTTTCACACTTTGAGTTCTGCAGCTAGGTCTAATTAAATGTTAACTATAGACAAGTCCTCACATGAGTACCCCCACTGAAATGGCTTCGTGCTTAAAATAAAATGTTTGTATTTATGGGAAATGGGATCAGGTCCCCAAGCTGCACCCCCATACAGTACATGTTGCCTTCTGAAAAGTACATCTCCACCCCAAGACACAACACGTCATCTTCTCACAAACATCCCTTCAAAACATGCACATTCCCATGCACCACTGATTACGTGTCCCCAAAAAACAAAGATATATTTCTCTGCACATTTTCCTTGGATATAATCCCCACATCCCAGGCTAAGCTGGTTTTGAGCATTCTAACACAGCTATGTATCTTGATAATGAATATATTAAAAATTGCTTCTGTCTCTTGTGTTCCTTAATCTCTGAACAGACTTGTGAATATCCATATCCTAAATGCAAAACAGGGATGGAGACCCAGGGGGGGTTCAATCTTATACTCTTATGGGTCACAAAATGTAATACTTATTTGTGAAGTAATTTTTTTAAATTGATGTTAAATTTCAGAACTTAGTATTTTGGTATCCCCGCTTCATTTTGTCACCTTTGTATAAAATGGAAACGTAGGCCCTGATCCTGCAAAAACTAGCACACGTGTTGTGTTTAACTTTGCACACAAAGGCCATGTCTACACTATCGATGCAGCTGTGCGGTTGTAAGATTGCTCGTGTTGCTCTATGCCGACGGGAGAGAGCTCTTCCATCAACATAATTAAATCAACTTCAACGAGCATCTCGCACCAACATAGCACTGTCCACACTGGCACTTCTGTCCGTGTAACTTACGACACTCAGAGGGGTGTTTTTTTTCATACCCCTGAGTGACATAAGTTACACCGACAAAAGTGCTAGTGTAGACATAGCCTAAGTACAATGAGAGTATACATAGCATTTTGGGAAATACAATCAGTAAACATTAAGATGTATTAACTAATGAAAATTGTAGCATTTAGTTAAATAAAACAAAACTATAACCCATGTCTGTGTGCGTAATTGTATATTCCAAGTAAAAATATAGATAAGAAGACTACAAGCTATCAGTTTGTGTCCAAATGAGAATAGCAAAAATAACTACAGCCCTGCTCCTACAATTGGATCTACATGAGTGAACACTTGTACACGTTCAGAACTTCAGTGATTTCATTAGGGTTATGAGCTGTTACAAGGGTCCACCCCTACAGATTCAGTTGGAGGGCTGAGGCCTAAATTACCGCTCTGGCAAACACTGCTCTACCAACCTTAGATACCATTCCTGCAACTATAACCATGTGGGCAAGCTCCTGTGCCTGGCCTGCACAGAGATCTATTGACTTCATGGGACTCCATGCAGATACCAGGATCTGTCCATGTAGATACAGCGGCAAGATCAGAGCTATAACGCTTACTATAATGAAGAAAAGGAGGACTTGTGGCACCTTAGAGACTAACCAATTTATTTGAGCATATGCTTTCGTGAGCTATAGCTCACTTCATCGGATGCATTCAGTGGAAGATACAGAGGGGAGATTTATATACACAGAGAACATGAAACAATGGGTGTTACCATACAAACTTTAACAACAGTGATCAGGTAAGGTGAGCTATCCACTGTTCCTCAGACGTTCTTGTCAACTGCTGGAAAAATGGCCCACCTTGATTATCACTACAAAAGTGCCCCCCTCTCCCCCCCGCTCTCCTGCTGGTAATAGCTCACCTTACCTGATCACTCTCATTACAGTATGGTAACACCCATTGTTTCATGTTCTCTGTGTATATAAATCTCCCCACTGTATTTTCCACTGAATGCATCTGATGTAGTGAACTGTAGCTCACAAAAGCTTATGCTCAAATAAATTTGTTAGTCTCTAAGGTGCCACAAGTCCTCCTTTTCTTTTTGCGAATACAGACTAACACGGCTGCTACTCTGAAACCTATAATGAATAATACTACTGAAGTCAACGGGGCTATTCACAGCAGTTGGAAGTAAGCTTGATGGAATGTTTGCAGGATTAGGCCCTAATTCTATGTCCCACCCGGTATTTCCAAATCCACACATTCAAAAGTCACAAGTGAGGCCCCCAAATATCATGAGACTGGCTTTAGAATGATGGTTTTTTAAAATATAATAAATATTGGGCTGTTTTTATTTGCCTGCTGCTTTTGACTTTTCAGGTCACATTTTCAAGCTGTTCTCCTCAACCACAAGGGCTAGAAACGTACTTGAAGGAAAGAAGAAAGAAAGAAAGCTGAGAGTCTCACCAAATAACATGATTTCAGCTTAAAGCTGGAGCTTTAAGAAAAACTCCACATATTGCAAGACTTGTGGTAAAATTGCTGCCTACTACTGGTAAATTTATTGTACTTTAATTACAAGATTTATTGTGTAAAAAATCCATTGCCAATTAGCCTAAAAGCTGCATCTTCCAACTAAGTAAACTGTACATTTCATAAAAAGAAAAGGAGGACTTGTGGCACCTTAGAGACTAACAAATTTATTGGACCATAAGCTTTCGTGAGCTACACCTCACTTCATTGGATGCATTCATGCATTTCATGTCTCTGACATCTTTGCTTAAGCCTGCACTTAATTTTTTGGGGGTACAAGTGTCTTCCTAAACAGAGCTTATTACTTTAAGTGTTACCAACACCAAAGCCAAAAGTTATGTTTTAGCTAGTAAGAATGAATTATGCAAGTGCCTGTATAATTTGCTAGTTTACTTCAGTGTCACAGTCCACATAACCTACCTCGTTTATTACATTTTTGCAAGTACAATACAGGCAGAAATATCTTAAATTCTTCACTGCAATGCAATGGTTAATATACACATACAATCAACCAATAATAAATTCAAACCCTAATTTCCAATTTGTCAGCCTTTTTATATGCTACAATGTTGTGATGGTGATTGTGGAGTAATGACAAAACTTTATAAATAATACTACTTGGTATTTGTACTATACAGTTATTTTATTTCAAAGTATTTTATAAACAGAAACAAATCTTTTTCCTTTACTGATATCTATTTTGTCTGATTTTTTTCTTTCTAATTCTAAGCAGATATCATTGGTTTTATGGCCGATATACTTTATAAGAGTGCCCCATATTTACTCACTATTTTTGTTATTGTGCATTGGACTTGTAAGTTATTTCAGTAATACCATCACCTCCAGTTCATGTTATTTTAATTTATATAAGTGTATTTATAAAACATACTATCTGGAGCCTGTGTGATTTTTAAAAATAGCTTACACTGGATGACTCTTGGTCCCCACTAAACTATATACCAGACTCAGACTCAACACCTGTTGGCCAAGAAAAGAAAAGGGCCTTACACAATGCCTTTGAGGTCAGCAGATGGGTTTCTGCTGCTTTGGGAATTACGGGCTTGTGATTCATGTACAGGACTAGGAGTCAGGACAGCTGGATTATTACATTCCTTGTTCTGCCGCAGTCTTGGGGCAGATCTTGAGCTGATGAACATGGTCATAGCACCATTTACCTCAATGGCACTATCACAATTTTGCCAACTAAGGGTCTGCCACCCTGTGTGAATTTTGGACAGAATTTACGGCCCAGTCCTATTCTAATTGAATCAGTGGCAAAACCCCATTGACTTCAATGGTGCATGAAATGTCTCAGCCTCAATTTGTTCATGTATAAAATAGATAATAAGCATTGCCTACAGTATAAGGCTGTTGTGAGGCTAAGTTTGTTAATATTTATAAAGTGGATAGGGTTCTTTAAATGGAATATGAGCAAAAATATTATTGCATTTGTACTTTCTTGCTTGAAGCTATTTAATTCAAAAACATGTTTCAAAAACTTCTGCTTTGGAATAAAAAAGACTAACAATATTGCAAAAACTAAAATATCTTCATATTCCCTGAAGTGTAAAAGGCAAGGTAATAAAATTTCATTGTTATTAAATATAAAATACCTTGTTGTTGCATGTGAAATGGAAGTAACATAAACACCAATCTTCTCTGGTAGAAGAATAAATGGAAGTTTTATTAGATTCATAGATTCCAAGGTCAGAAGGGACCATTGTGATCATCTAGTCTGACTTCACTATTCCCATCTACCAAAAACATTCTTATTAATCATCCTTCTCATGTTTTTTTAAACAGATCATCATTAGATCTGAAGGTCTGCTGGTTTTACCAGGAGTTTGGCTATCAATGCACAACAGAAGGCTAGGTTCTCTTTCATGTTTTTGATACTCTCAATACTGATTTAACAGCATTACATTTTTGAACAACAGAAGCTTACAATTTGTCATGGTTATTATCGCTGTGATTTATGTTCACTTTCCATACAACCTTAAAGCAGATGTCTGTGTGCACAACTATTCTGCAATCACCACATAACTCAAACTATTTTGTCAATATATTGATTGCACTAGGACAATATTCTGATATGCCAGCCATCTGTTTATTTTTGCCTTCTAATCTAATACTTTTTTGTTACATCTACAAAGGTTATTGCCATCTCATATAATAGTAAGAACCTTACCAATATGACTAAAATGAGAGGAGTCTGCTATTATGACAGGTTTCAATCGGTCCACCGAGTCTCTAGGGGGTGATTGAGAGCTACGGTCCCACTGGCAGGCCTTAGTCACACCTTTCAGTCACTGGAGAATTAGCGGAGAAGGTGCGCTGGCCAGAGTCTGTGGCACGCCCGTCAGGCAGGGGAGCGCCGGCCAGAGTCTGCGGCACGCCCGTCAGGCAGGGGAGCGCCGGCCAGAGTCTGCGGCACGCCCGTCAGGCAGGGGAGCGCCGGCCAGAGTCTGCGGCGCGCCCCTCAGGCAGGGGAGCACCGACACAAGTCTGCGGCGCGCCTCTCAGGCAGGGGAGCGCCGGCAGGAGTCTGCAGCATGCCCCTCAGGCAGGGAAGCACCGACACAAGTCTGCGGCGCGCCTCTCAGGCAGGGGAGCACCGACACGAGCATGCGGCGCGCCCCTCAGGCAGGGGAGATCCGACACGAGGATGCGGCGCGCCCCTCAGGCAGGGGAGATCCGACACGAGGATGCGGCGCGCCCCTCAGGCAGGGGAGATCCGACACGAGGATGCGGCGCGCCCCTCAGGCAGGGGAGATCCGACACGAGGATGCGGCGCGCCCCTCAGGCAGGGGAGCGCCGGCCAGAGTCCGTGGCATTGTCGGGATTCTGCTACCCAAGGCGGGTTGGCCGGCGTAGGGGAACGCAGGCCCACCCAACTCCACTGCGTTCCAGCCCAGGGCCCTGACAGTGGCGGGAGGAGAGGGTCCCGCCACTGGGTCAGCGGGGAACCATCCGCGCCACACTGACCACACCGCACTGTGCGGTTCTGCCCCTGGGCTACTTCCTACCCGGTCTCTCAAGCGGGCCTCTCCGGTCCCTCCAGCTCGTCCAGGTATTCAGCTGCTGGCAGCTCCAGCTCCCCCTCTGTGTCAGGCTCACGCTGGCCTGGGTTGCAGCCTGGCCCCTCCAGGTCCTCCGGGTACTCAGCGACTGGCAGTCCTGGTCGCCTCAGTCCTTCCTCCAGGCCAGGTTTCTCCTGGCCCAGGGCCTCCCCTGAGTCAGCAGCAGGGTCTGGAGGGAACAACCAGCAGCCTGTGTCTGTCTCCCTCCCTGGTGCTGCCCTCACTGGGCAAAGGGCCCCGCCCTTTGTACTTCCGGTTCCACCCCTCCTCGTCCGGGGATTGGAGTAAGCTTGGTCTGGCCCCACCCACTCAGGTTGAGAGGGTGGCTCTTTACCCCCTGACTCCCTAAGTATCATAAAATTTACTTAGTGATAAATTATTTATCTTTTATATTTCAGAGCCGTTACCATCAATTCTAATAAAATCTTAATATTTTGTCGCTCATATTATGGGACTGAATAGTATTATATTTTAAAGTATGTATGTTGTAATGAATAAACAACAATGTATTATTAGTTGATTTACTTGGATTATATAATTTGAAAAATATGATAATCCCTATCATAACTCCATTTGTGTAAATGGAATTACACCAGACATGAATTTGTCCCTACGTATCCCTTTGGTCAAAATAATCTTCAGATCATTCAAAACTCCAGTGAACTGTAACTAATACTTTTATTTTAAAATTACTTCAATTTTCCCAGCCCAGTTGGAATATAAACACAGTTCCAATGTGCAGTAAGTTTACAGTATCACTGTATACTTATATTAAAAGTTATAGAGTATCTAAATCTGTTCAGCCAATCAGATTACTCTGTGAAATAAACATTGTGACCCCACTTTACATTTGTTTTGTTTTGTTTTAGAGAGAGATCATTGTGTATAATGTATTGCTCATACCATTCTCTGTGCTGTACAGGAAGCTTTTAGAATTTTAAATTTTAAAATATATATTTATGACCTGTGATACTTCATAGACCAACTTCTACAAACACACATGTTCCTAACTTTATGTGTGAGGCATTGAAGTAAATCATCTTTGATAATAAATGGAAGTTGAATGGGAAATATATTTGAGAAAATTCTCACTGAAAAAGCCATATGTTTTTTGGTGTTGTGGAATTGCGGTTGTAATCCAAAGAAAAGGAAGTCTTCTGATAAGGAATGAGGTTTACGATGTTCTTCGCGAAGGTACTAGCTAAGCTAAGGATCTAATGAGTAAAGAGTGAGTGGCAGACCTTACATAACATGCTCAGAGTTATCATTATGTAGTCTGAAATCTGAGTGAGAAAATGAATAGAAAAATGTATGCAGTGTAGAAGAGCTCAGTGTGGCTCGAACGTTTGTCTCTCACCAACAGAAGTTGGTCCCATAAAAGATATTACCTCACCCATGTTGTCTCTACAAAAAAATATGACATGAGTGGCAGAACTGACTCAGAGCAGCTGGGCTTGAATTTCATTAAGCTTCTTCATTAAGGGCTAGATTGAGCCTTTGGGCTCAGAAATGGGTAGGGCCTAGCATGTAGTGTCTCTAGCCCAGAAGCAGTGCTGGGAAGGAACTGTGACTAAGGCCTTGTCTACACTACACGGTTTTGTGGACAAAAGTCAGCTTTTGTCAACAAAACAGTGGGGGTGTACACACTGCACTGCTCCTCCCGCCGATTTAACTCTCCTGCTACACTGACATAATAAAACCACCTCGACTAGAGGAATATAGCTTTTAGCTACAAAGTTAGAGTGACACTGTGTCAGTATAGACACTGTGCTTGCTTATGTGTTGCCCTAATTGGCCTCCGGGTGGTGTCCCACAGTGCCCATCTTGACCACTCTGGTCAGCAGTTTCAATTCTGCTGCCCTGAAGCCAGGTACACAGGCATACACCCCTCCCTTTTTAAAGCCCTGGGAATTTTTGAAATGCCACTTCCTGTTTTCTCAGCATTGACATAGCATCTTCCCATCTGACCATGCTGGCTTTCCGCAGCAAACATGCTTCTGCCTGGAGTACACCGTAGCTGTTCGATCTGCTGGGTCTGTGGGGAGAGGAGGCTGTGTAGTCACAGCACCGCTCCAGTCGTAGGAACTTTGATACCTACAAGCAGTTTGCTCGTGGCATGGAGGACAAGGGGCACGAAAGGGACATGCAGCAGTGCCAAGCTAAGCTCAGGGAGCTGAGGCAAGCACACCAGACGGCAAGAGAGGCCAACCATCACCTTGGTGTGGTGCCAAAGATATGCAGCTTCTACAAGGAGCTGCATGCCATCGTTGGCAGCGACCCCACCTCCACCACCAAGAGCCCTATGGATACTTCAGGGGAACTGGATGAACGGCCAGCCGAGTCAACCCTGAGGACAAAGTGGTGGACAAGGAAGTGGAATTGGAGGAGGATATGGGACAGGGTCATGTGGTGGCGTGGTAAGCCAGGACCGCTTTTTGACTCCGGAGGGGTCTAGCCAGTCCCACTACTTGGGCTCTGGCATGCCTAAAGCAGGAGAGGGGAGCTCCGGAAAGTACTCATTTTGCTTTGATACTGCAGGGAGACATGAGGTATAGGTCTCCTTTATTTTGTTACATTGTACAAGTGGGGAAAGGGATAGAAATTAACAGCACTAGGACAGTTTGCATCTGCTTCTCATTGCCCTGTGCAGCTGCACAAGTGAGTGCCCTGCAGAAAAGTTTGTTATTGCACATGGGGATCTCCCAGGAATCCTCTCTAGAGATCTCAAGGTACCTTTCCTGGAGGTACTCTGCAATCCTCTGCTGAAGGTTCCTAGGTAGAGCTCCTTTGTTTCTTCCCCCACTGTAGGAAACATTGTCGCGCCAATCATCAATTACTTCTGCAGGAGCCAAAGCAGCATGCAGGTGAGCAGCATACGGACCCAGTCTGAAGCTGCACGCATGCAGGAGATGCACCCTTGCATCCTCGATTGTCCTCAAGAGAGAGATACCAGCTTTGATCACCCCTGCCTGTGGCAAACAGTGCCAATATTCAGAATAGAGTCCCTAGGCGCATGTACTGATCCCCTTTTGAAGCTCTCAGACCCTGTGTTGTATCTTGCCCCTTCCCTCCTGGGCCAAACTCACCATGGTTAGGGCACTTGCCATGCTGTGTGCAGGCAAAGGAAAAGTGAGAAAGAGGTGTATGTAACTTTTATGATTCAAGGCTGTGAGTGCACTCCCTATACTGATAGTGTGTATTGTTTCTTTTGTTTATGCAGATGTGCCCTTGAGGTCCAGCTCCTACACACCGGCGGAGCGCCTCCATCAAATAAAGAAGCAAACAATGAGGAGTAAGGAGGATATGTTTAGAAAAGTGCTGCAATCATCTGATGCTGCAGATAGCAAGCACAGAGTGTAGAGAGAGACAATCCACAAAAAAATCAGAATGGATAGCCGGAAGAGGAGACGGGTAGAAGAGGATGATAGAGGGGCAGGAGCGGATAATAAAGCTGAGTACCAAACAGAGATGGTGAGGTCCCTGATTGTGCTGCAGCTGGAACACATCTGTGCTCAACTCCCCCTGCAGCCCATACAGAACTGCATTCCAGGCCCTCCCCAAGCTCCTCCCCCACATTCATTGCATGTTCCTGGCCCGACCCAGTACCCCTTGCACTCCACCCCTAGAGACATGTTTCATTAGAAGTGGAAATCTGTGTATTGCTGTTTAATAAAAATCTAGTCTTGAAATAGAATGATTCTTTTTTTGTGTCCTACACATGGTTGTTGCTGCAGAAATTCATACAAAGTGGCAATCAGCACATTTTCAGATTACAATTAACGCTCAGGCAGCAATCATTAGAAGGGTCATTCAAGGCAGCAAGTAAACAATGCCAGACTGAATGCATTACAGAAAGACACATTACTGGAGTGCATTGTCAAAATGCTACTTCAAAGCCTCCCTGATTCGAACAGCTCCCCCCGTCCCCTTGAGTCCCCTCTAATAGCCCTGGTATCTAGTTGCTCCAAATCAGCTGCCAGGCAATCCACCTCAATGCTCCACCCCTGGGGAAAATTTTCCCCTTTAGCTTCACAAACGTTATGCGGAGCACAGCAGGCTGCTATGACCTTGGGAATATATTCCTCATTGAGGTCTAACCTGTCAAAAAGACAACACCAGCAACCCTTTAATCTGCCAAAAGCACATTCAGTGGTCATTCTGCATCTCCTGAGCCTGTTGTTGAAGTGCTCCTTGCTGCTGTCAAGGTTTCCGGTTGTAAGACTTCATGAGCCGTGGGAATAAGGGTAGGCTGGGTCTCCCAGGAACACAAAGGGCATTTCCACATCCCCTATTGGAATCTTCTGGTCTTGAAAGAAAATCCCTGCGTGCAGCTTTCTATACAGGCAGTGTTCCTAAAGATGCCATCATCATACACCTTTCCTGACCACCGCACATTGATGTCAGTGAAATTACCCTGGTAATCCACCAGCGCTGGCAATACCATAGAGAAGTAGCCCTTTCTATTGATGTACTTAATCGCAAGATGGTCTGGGGCCAAAATTGGGATATGCATGCTATCTATCACAGTGCTGCAGTTAGGGAATCCTATTGCCGCAAAGCTATCCACTATTTCCCGCACATTGCCCAGAGTCACAGTCCTTTGTAACAGGAGGCGGTTAATGGCCCTACATACTTGCATCACCACAACCCCCACAGTGGACTTTCCAACTCCAAACTGTTTCACAACTGACCAGTAGCAGTCTGGAGTTGCTAGCTTTCACAGTGTGATCGCCACTCGCTTTTCCACCATGAGGGCAGCTCTCATTTTGGTGTCCTTGTGCCGCAGTGTAGGGGCCAGCTCCACACACAGGTCCAAGAAGGTGACTTTGCACATCTGAAAGTTCTGCAGCCACTGCTTGTCATTTCATAGCTGCATCACAATGCGAACCCACCACTCAAAGCTTGTTTCCCGATCCTGATGGTGATGGTCCACTATGTGCAGCTGCTCCATGAATGCCAACATCAATCTTGAATTGTTTCTTTCCATGGCACACAGAATGGCAGACATCACAGATTCTTTTTCAGATTACAGCTCATGAAATACTGCAGGATCAGCCATGTTGTGTTCATAATGCTCTTCACAAGAGTGGAGAGCAGTGCAGGATCCATGTTATCAGGCAGAGATGGCAAACACGCTGTTTACAGGGGCAGCTGAAAAACGGCATGAAACATAGTCAGAAACCCATGGAATGTTGGGATGTAGAAAACTGCATGAGCCAACCTCCATGATGCACTGCAATCCATTTCCAGAACTCCTAGTGGCAGAAGGTGGCAATTTGCAGTGGGATACCTACACATGGCGCACTGCTCTCTCTGTCGATGGTAGAGCACCAACACGCACAAGGAGCATTGTGTGAACATGCAAAAGTGGTGTAATTACAGCAATTTATGATTGTCGACATAACTTAAGTTGACTTAACTCTGTAGCGTAAACATAGCCTTAGAGGCACAGTTCATCCCCTAGTCCCACGTCTTCCTTTGGAGGATGGGAAGGGGGAATTAACTTGCTGCAAGCTTTAAAGGGATGATGTTTACTTTCCCACCAGTGTTGTGCTTGGCTAGCTACTTTGACCAGCAAGTTGCAGGGGTAAGGGAAGACACTAACCAAAGCTACACCTCACTATCCACCTACTTGCTGACAAGGGGGAGTCTCTGGGCACCATGGGCTGCACACTGCACCAGATTTGGACTCAAGGACCTACAAGGCCGAGAATGAAGATGGAGGTGAGTTTCACTTCCTCATATGTGAGTAAAACACACTATCTAGTCGTGATTAATAAAATGCTATGAGACTGTAAGTATCAATGTGCATATACAGGAAAAGCTTTGTTATCTGACATGTTGGGAGAATGCAAGGTACTGGTTAGTCAAAAATTCTAGTTAACTAAGAGTTATACTTACCAATGGAATACCAATTTTCAAAGAATTAGAATACAATAAAATGAATAATGTATAACAGGGATCGGCAACCTTTGCATGTGGCCCATCAGGGAAATCCGCTGGCAGGCCGGGCCAGTTTGTTTACCTGCAGTGTCCGCAGGTTCGGCTGATCGCAGCTCCCACTGGCCACTGTTCGCTGTTCCAGGCCAATGGGGGCTGCAGGAAGCAGCGCGGGCCGAGGGATGCGATGGCCACTGCTTCCCGCAGCCCCCATTTGCCTGGCACGGTGAACCGCGGCCAGTGGGAGCTGCGATCGGCCGAACCTGCGGATGCTGCAGGTAAACAAACCGTCCCGGCCTGCCAGCAGATTTCCCTGATGGGCCATGTGCCAAAGGTTGCCGTTCCCTGATGTATAAAATGGTATACAGGTACTCACCAATCCATTAGTAGTACTGCACTGCACAGTGGTTGGTTTCCTGAAGCACCTAGGTGTATACAGTTAAAGTTTTCTATACAGTAGGTTATCTTATACACTACATATCACTATAGGCAGTGCATGGCATACACCCAGATCCCTAAAAATACACTTAACACTAAAACTATACTGAACATAATTTAATCTCTCTTTGATAATTCAGGAGGCACTTCAGGATCTTGCAGTGCCTCAGGGTCATCATTATCAGCATCAATTATTATTGTAGATGTAGAAGTGTAGGAGCTTGGGCTGAATCTGTAATGACCCCATGACACACCCTGGAAGCTGCTTTTTTGAATAAATCCCTGATATCAGCTTGCTTACTTGTCTTCTGCCTCTTTTACATAAAAGTAAAATGCAGAATGTGCAATTGCATAACCTCCTGGGCAGTATACTAGTACCGATTACTAGACTGAAGATTTGTATTGGGTGATATCAGAAATGCCGGTTAATAGAGCTTTCTGGTTGATAAAGTGCCTGATAACACAGCTTTTATTGTACCTCTTCAGTTTTAAAATGCCATCTCTACGGAGGGCATACTCAGCTTGAGGGGAGGAGTAAGTGATGTGGACATTTCCAGCCACTACAAGACCTCTTTTCCTGCTCTGGACCAATGTTGAGATGCTTCGTAGGGAAGTGAATCCATTCAGCCAGCTCTTGGCTGGAAGAAAAGGTCTTTCAGATGCAGGTCCTGGGAGGAATAAAGGAAAAAATGGATTAATCCTGAAGGACTTGCACCTGAACCCCAAAAATGCCATCGATACAACAGCACACATATTGATCATAGGTTAGAATAACTACTAGATTTAGGTTTCAGAGTAACAGCCGTGTTAGTCTGTATTCTCAAAAAGAAAAGGAGGACTTGTGGCACCTTAGAGACTAACCAATTTATTTGAGCATAAGCTTTCGTGAGCTACAGCTCACTGTGAGCTGTAGCTCACGAAAGCTTATGCTCAAATAAATTGGTTAGTCTCTAAGGTGCCACAAGTCCTCCTTTTCTTTTTACTAGATTTAGCCCTCACCAGAGTGCCTCACTTACTATATTACACAGTAACTCTCAAAAGAGCTCAGCATCACAAGCACCTTTCTGTCATGTGGCAAGTAACATTTATTTGAACACAGCAGAATAACAGAGACAGTGGCAAGCAGAATAATCACAAGTAAACTTTGTGAGTGGTGTAGCATATTAGTCTGGACACAGGAATATGCATTTGAGCTCCTGAATTCTAATCCCAACTTCTTCCGTGGCCTTGACCAAGGCATATACCCAATCCTAAGAGATAGTGCACACCCTTGAACTCCCATTAGTATGAATGTCTTGCAGGACAGGACATTTAGCCATTCAGTTTCCCCACCTGTAAATGCATACCTTAGCTTTCAGTTTGCACAAGCTACACAATGAATTGTTGACATGACTGTGAAATATGTACTCTGTGCCATCCGAGGGTATGTTTCATTGTTAATCCTATTCCCAAAAATTTGTTCAGGAAGGGGTCAGAATGGACAGTTTGCCATTTCCAGTAAGAGCTACATTTATTTTATTATTATCATATATGTATTATATGCTACACTCCTCCCCACTTCACATCTAACTTTCCAACTGTTGCCATAACTGCTTTCCCCAAAAGTTCTTTAATTTCCTGGGCCTACAAATTAAAAAAAGCAAAAAGAAATAGGACAGACTGTGGCACTATTGTGTATACGTAGGAGCTGCCAATTTGTAACCCAGCTCTTTAGTCTCAGTGCAGGAAAATATCCCACTGAAATCGAGAGGAGTTTTGCCCACATAAGTGCTGAAGGGTCAAAGAATTGAGTGATGTGACTGCATCGAAAACAAGTAGGCAATGAAAGACGAGTGCAGGAGGAGTGTATTTGTCCTTGAGGGGATATCAACAAGATAGGAGCCACTGGGAGAAGAGGAAAGGAATCCTCGCTTCTCTCCTAGGAGTTGCACCTTTGGAACCCAGGGACTTTTTAAGAGGGACTTCAGAGGCACACTTGACACTCACCCTCCTGCAAAGCACAGTGTATGCTCTATTGATGCCATGGAAACCATGTTTGTTGCCAGAAATACATCTAAACAACATTATTCTTTTGGTTAAGCCCAAAGTGTGCGGTTTCAGCAGAGACTCTGCTGTTGCCCCATCCCGCTTTTTGAGCAAGGGCTCTGCATCCCGTTGCTCTGCAGAGGGTCAGGTTGCATCATTGTAAGAAGCGTTTGTTTTATGGCTGTTTGCTTTGGGACATAATGGGTCTTGCTGCTGGGGAATGT